AACATCGGGTACACATTAAATGCACGTTCGTGTTCAATGCTCTTTACCGTATAACTTAACGTAGCCGTATAAATTGTACATAGTCCATCGAAAAGTTACTAATATCGATAATATTGAATGATAGAAGCATCCCATTATATAATTTGACGACCCAAATGGCGTAGTGGGTAGTGTACCTGCCTCCGGCGCCAGAGGGTGTGGGTTCGATCCCCACTACTGGAAAAATATTGTGTGATGAGCATGGTGTTTTTCTAGTGTCTGGGTGTTTCAATATGTATAATATGTATTTATTTACAAAAGAAAAGTATGTTTAAGTATGTTTATCAGTTTTCTAGTACCCATAGTACAAGCTTTGCTTAGTTTGGGACTAGAAAATATTGTGTGCAAATGTGTCCTTAAAAAAAAATTACTGGCTGTGCCCCGCGACTTGCCCTTCGTCCGCGTGCAATTTGAAATAAATAAAATTTCTAAAATAAAAGTAGCCTAAGTTACTACTTATAACATCAGCTATCTGCCAGTGAAAGTCCCGTCAAAATCGGTCCAGACGTTTCAGAGATTAGCCGGAACAACAGACAGACAGACAAAAACTGTAAAAAACGTTATTTTTTTATAGGTACCGTATGTATACACGGTATATATTATGTATTTAGAAAGAAGTGGTTATTTTAATATTACAAACAGACACTCCAATTTTATTTATCTGTATAGACAGCGGATACGTGTCTGGAGAAACATGTTCCGAATCCGTCTGTCGGAATTGCAACTCATAAAATCTCTGCGCTATACTGTCAGAGGTCCGGCTATATTGCTGAATACAGACACAATCTCGGCTAGTCCCCGCATAGCTCCAAAGGCTTAAGTGACGCGACTGCCGCTTTTCGCCGTTATTAATGGGGAAAAGCTATATTGATATAGGAGAAACGGTCCTATATTAATACGGACTAAAATCACAATTTCATTAGGATGACAGCCAATTGACGACACGCTTGAACATGTCTTCAATTCGAATAAGATCTGCGTATCATTCCAGTTGTTAAGAGTATTATATATATATATATTGTTTACTGATCGAACGTTTGACAACAAGGAAGAGTAAGTCTACAGCATCGGTAGATCTTAATATCTTATACCTGTGGCATGAAAAAGGTGGTGATTTCAGTCACCTAACATTATATACACACGTCAACCCTACGAATAATTCAACCTATTTACTAAAACAGTTTAAACTTTTTTGTGTTCCAAGACACTTTAAACTGTTGGGCGCAGATTAAACATTGTTTCTGATGAAAGTAAATATAAGTAAATATACTTATTTTATTATTTATCGCTTTTAGTGTCAAATTCAGTACTGCCTCGTTTATTTTGTATTTAAATATCACTAGCCCCAGTTCTGTACAATCGAAATATAACAAATATAAAAATAAAATGTTACACTCAGTGCATTTCCATTTGAGCCGCGATAGCTCGGAGTCCGGGCGTTAGCTTTTAATTCAATATACTCGATAAATCTGGGTTGAAATCCCGGTGCCAGCACAGATGAAATTATTAATTTTACGTGCACGTGATAAGTTATAAGTTTAAAAACTTATCACGTGCTCGTATATTTTCGTAGTAACAACAACAACAAATAAAAAATATACCGAAAATAGATGCAGTCCGCCAAACCACAGTGGAGTCACGTCGTGAACTATGCTCTAACAGGCTCTGTACAGAGGAGGCATTTGTCCAGCAGTGGGACATGTACAGGCTGTTACTTAATTACTTTGCACTTCCATTTTAAAAATAACAAAGCTGCTTTAAGTTGCCCCCAACTGAAACCATACATGCTGGGTCGGTGTTATGGAGGGTAATAAAAACGCATTGCTTAATACCGCCCTTTGCCGCTCGGTTGCCTACTCTCTGTTTCGTTAAACGAACAATTATCGCGAGTGGCGGTCGACAGCTGAGCCTAGCGTAATTGCTTCTCCGAAGACTATTGAGCTGCAGATGAGAGGGGGAGAGGGGGGAGGGGTGGAGGGGTTGGGGCAACGAATCTGTTCATTGTCAGACGCAACTTTCGTTTCCCGCATACCTCACTCTCGCTAGGGGATACGCAATCTATAAAATACTTTTAGTCTACTGGAAAAAACTGTAGGTTGTGTGTACTACTGTGATTCCGTGGTACCACTCCAATTGAGCCTAGGAATAGGAACGGCATAATATTCTGTGTGGATCCACCACAGCAAACATTTTATTTTTGTATATGAAACGTTTATAACTGCGGGCAAAAGGTGTGGCCTTTCGAAGTCAGGCAATTCGTCCTCTTTACAGTAGCGGTTTATTACTTCAGCTTTCATTAGGCACTTTATGCTTACTCAAGACGACTCGACTAGCAATAGGCCAAGCGGGAGAACGACCCGTGGATGAAACCCGCCCATAAGGCAGTTTGTTTAACCAGCCTCGAGAGTTACGCCGAATTTTTACTTATTAAATATGATTGCAGCCAAATATACCGGGAAGGCATAGAGAAATCGATGGTGGTGGGGCACGAATGGGCAGTTCCATCACGGGAATTACCACGACCTCGCAGAATACCAGCGTGGAGTGGAAGTACTTCTGCGTTTTGTTTTTGAGATAGCCGGGGCCGATTTATTATAAAGTGGCAACGCATCTGAAACCCTACGGCTGTTGCAAATGTTAATGGACGACGGTGATCACTTAACATCAGGTGAACAGACAGCTCGTTTGCCACCTGCTCACATAAAAAAACCATCATTCATCTCCACGATGTAACTAGTGTTCTTTTCCTTATGTCACAACTTGTCATTACACAAGTGTCGGATAAAGTTGCATGTTAATGTCGCTGACGTAACAACTTGTGCAATGAACAGTTCATGCACAAAAGGGCCCGTTTATTTCGAGGCGGCCCAGCCTACCAAGCATCATCGTCCCGAAATTCGTTACTGCGCGCTATTAACGATGAAAGCGGCCCAGCATGAGCCATATTGGATTAAGTGCGGCAACACGAAATCGGCTGGACGAAATCACCGCCTGATAGTGACGTTTGGTTAATTTAAACTTTCAACTAGAGAGATACGTAAAAAAAGTATGTATAACACCCGCAGCCGTGTTAGCATTACTCCGATTTATTTCGCACCTTCCACATCTTCATATACAGCGTGTCGTTACAACCGCGACAGTAAATGAACACACGTCTAACGCTACTTGCCAATAATCATAAAAAAATGTAAAAGGTTAAAAAAATCCATAATTAAAAAATATATTTTTCCATCAAACTAATTAAATAAAGAAGAAACAAAATTTCTAAGCTCCTATACAACTACAACTGACTGATTCATACATTCAGAGACTTTTTCATTCGTTGCCGCAACGTCGCATTACAAGTCTCTCCTTCTAACAGTGTTTATCTCTTTTAAATTCATTCAACCCATTCATATGCTTTGTGACCTTTACAAATGAAATTTACGTTACAGTTTTATACGTAAGGGTGTTCTAAAATTGTTTGTTTTGTAAAATTTAATACCTCTGTAAATCTTATCATCAATCTTTAATTCGTACTTAATACAATTTTAAAAAGGAGAATGGTTTACAATTATTATGTTATTCAAATTTTTTTTATTTCTAAGTTACCGGATTTAAGTCGTGGGTACAGGACAACGTCTGTTGGGTCCGCGAGTACTATATATAAAACTAACTAACCCGCCCCGGTCCGCTAGTAATTATATATATTCTTCAACATGATAAATGTCCATCCGGAATAAGAATACTTGGTTACTCGCTTTATTATGTAGTTCTACCATAGTAGATTATTTAATTAATTCGCTACGCGCATAATAAATTGAAACAATCCGAAATAAATTGACATTGACATTGCCATAAGAAGCAATTCCCGTCTATTACGTAGGTGATCACAAATTAACGGAAAATCGATCTATTATATAAAGAGAGAATATATATCGTATAATTAACAGATCGTAACGAAACACCACTGAATACACTCTAATCACACATCGAACAAAGGGAAATATGATAGAGCAAAATGTTCCATGTAACTACTACAAATGCTAACAGAATAATGGTGGAATAATTATAATGTGCACGTCAAACCGAATTTAGCTCGAAATAATGGACGGCCGAATATATCTCACGCAGGGCTCGCCATTATGCCAGTGTCTACCGTCGGACGTCAATTAAGGCGAAATGTTCGATAACAGCCAATGTCAATAGTAAGGGAACAATACGGAAATAGAATAAAGCAAACTAAAAATTAGTAACCAGTAAGTGATTTCGTTAGAAAAAACATTCTTTCACTTGAAGACACACAAAAAAATACGGTAAAATCAGTCTAACGATTGGACCGATTTTAGATGGAATTTAGTCGCACATGAAACGTAATGAGACTTCACAGTTGTAAGTTCGGAGAGCTAAAAAGCTCTAGTATTCTATAGCTGCCGTACAAACAGGTCGTTTATGTTCGGTCAATGAAACAACAACTATTGATTATTGCCAAACGGAAAATCTCACATGATTAGGCTAACGAGCAAAGACGGGACGAACTAGTGGTCTATAGAAGATTATGTCGTGATAAAAAAAAGTTTGAAAGTCATTTGACATAGTGAAAGTGGGAAGCTCCGAATTATTCCATAACTTTCATCAGATTTATACATTATTGATGTATTCGTCCATCAATGTCTTGCAATGATTGCCTCCCATGGAGTATTTCATCGTGTTAATTTTCTTATACTCACCGCAATCAAATTACAGGTTTGGTGCGCAAAGCCCAATTTTCAAAAGGTTGTCAACGCATCTGCGGCCCTCGGGTGTAGCGGATGTCCATGGGCGGCGGTATTCACTTAACATCAGCTTTTCACATAAAAAAAAAAACAACTCAATTGTAAGAATTGCTTACAACTGTATCGGATCCGAATTATTCGGTGCAGCCACGCTACTTACAATATTGCGCACCTCGTGTAACATTAGTTTGGCATTGTTATCAGCTAATTCTCTGCTACGTGGTCAATCGGACCCATCTGCGAGCCGTGCTTTTGTCGAGATTCTGCGGCTTTGGCGCGCTTCTCTCTATCGTTCGGAATCGCAGCGACGTCCACAGGCGGGGGAATTACCGGAGCGTAAAGCTTCGCGTCTGGAAATGATTGCCACATTTCCAGGGTTTCAAATTAAGTATCACAAAGGGGACGCTCGGGGAGACTCGAATGGGAGCTTAGGGACAGATGGTTAAGAATGACAAGGTATGCTTTTTAGGATTGCTACAAAAATATTCCCATTAAAAATTTGTTGCAAGAGTATTAATATTCTAATTATTAATATAATTACGCGTGTTAGTGTATCCGATCACCGAATTCTGTTATATATTTAGCGTCTCTTATATTCTAACTTCGGCGTCAGGGGTTGTGGGCTCGATTCCCACACGGGACAGATATTTGAGTGACCAACAGATAATTTTTCTGGATCTGGGTGTTTGTTCCCAATGAGGGTTGGCGTTAGGCAGGCGGCTGGTAAAAAAACTTACAACATGTAAATCATGTTGTAAGTGGATTTGGCTTTTTTTTACCAGCCGCCTGCCTGACGTCAACCCTCTTACCCTATGTGATGTTTAAATGAATGTTATATTGACCACTTTAGGTCACATGGCAATTAAAAGCTGTGTTCAGTCTATAGGAATAAAAATCGACCCCTTTAGCGTTCAAGACGAAACGGAAGCTAAAACTCACCTTGAAGTTTTGGACACAACGCGTAATAAGACAGTACGAAATGATCTGATAAAGGGTGCATCATTAAAGGACGCTAAGCCTTTGTATCCTCGACTATAGGCGCATGATTCGTCATTCCTAGCACTGGGTCATTATATGTTCTAAGTTTAGCTAGCTATAACGATACGATAATCAACTTTGAACCATATTGTGGAAAGAACGATAACAGCAGTTTTTCTATTAGATAAGGTTTCCTTTTTATGTGAGAAGGTGGCAAACGAGCTAGCGGTTCACCGGTTAAGTGATAGCCGCCGCCCGAGTTAGATGCGTTGCCATCTTTTAATAAAGTGGGCTCCGGCCACCAGACGAAACGCAGAAGTGTAACAATTCCACTTCCCGCCGATCTTCAGTCAGAGTGTAGTATTTCCTCGGACGGGCCTGCCCATTCGTGCAACATTGAAGACTGCTGCGTAGCCCTACCACAGGTATTATTAACACATTCGAATTATTGCCAAATTTGCACAGCCCTCATGAAACGATGACGACAAGACTTCATTACCGTCCCTTATTAGTACCATGATCGAAGGCTAGGTACAAATAAAAGACGCTTTCAGCCACAACTAAATCTATAAACGTCACCGAGCCTATTTAATCTCAAACAGCTCGAAGCCGCTGCATTTAGCAACATGATCCAGCCACGTTCCGAAAGGACTCCGGGAGAGAATGTACGCGACGGATAACGATGAAATAAGTACCGCATCCAAATCGTTTTTATGAGAGCAAACAGTTTATCTGATCTTGAGTAATTACCGTCAACGGGGACATCCGCAACACCTGGGGGATAGCAGATACGTTGCCGACCTACATAAAGTGTGCAACGGTGCCGTCACGACGAAACGCAAAGGTCAACAAAAACAACAACACTTGCACTTTACGCCGGTCTCATGTGAAACCGTGCGAGCGGCGAGCCTGCCCATTCGTGTAATAGCAGGCGCTTATCAAACTGGTCGCTTCAAAGTCAACGGTTGAGCCGCTAGTTTCTTGTCCCAAGTTAGGCTTGTTTCAACTTACGCCGGCTGCTAATTATGACCGGATGAACGAAGAACCGGCGCTCAGACACTAGTTCCTACTAAGTTTCTTCGCGAAATCAAACGTCGCTATTGGTATCTGCCGTGTGATACGAGTTACAACCTTCAAGAAGCGAGACTTTGCCTCTGTTAAGGTTCGGGCATTACCGTCCATTGCTGTGACAGTAAATGAGCGGAAGTGATTCGTGACAGTAAGTCGGCAATGGTAATCACTTAGCATCGGTCGAAACACCCATTGCTTGCTAGCCTTCTTTACCCTAAAAAAACCGGCTAAGTGTGAATCGGAATCGCGTACACGGGGTTTCGTACCGTTATCTATGAAAACAGCAAAAAAGCCGTTGAAAGAGTTGTTATAGCGGCAACAGAAATACATCACCTGTGAAAATTTCAACTGTATAACCATCACGGTTCATGAGATACAGCCTGGTGACAGACAGACAAACAGCGGAGTCTCAGTAATGAGGTCCCATTTTACCCTATGGGTACGAAACCCTAAAACATAATCATGTACTGGTCCAACGGTACTTATTTCACGAATTTTAATTACTTACCGCGGGAAATGGCGACAGTCATACGGACAGAGGATTGGTGGAAGCCTCGGAAGTTAATCTAATCGAGTCCTATGAGGCGGCAAAACGAGAAAATGGCCAATGACGGGCTGTTGGCGGTGGCGCCGCTGCCGACGCGCCCCTCATTTCATAATCGGATCTCGGAGAATTAAGCCGCTTAGTGTCCGACTAGTGTAGATCTCGATACGATATCTATTATCATTAATGTACAGACTATATTCCGACGGAATTCGATTTCCAGTTTCTGAGTAAAACGCGGACAGACATACAAATGTACACACAAATACTTATGAAAACAAATACACAAATACTTATGAAATTTCGCAGACATATTCACGAGGCCGTCTAGAATAAGAAATAATTCCATTGTCCATTTCCGTACATATGGGTGGAATTGACAATATCCTTCTTTGAAGTCGGTCAATAAAGCAAAGCTCTTTCTAGTTGTCACAAGAGAGACAAAAATAAATTAGTAAAAATAATCGGGGAAGCATTCTCGCGTTTTTTTTTTATGCAAAAAGTTGTTAAATGAGCAGACGGTTCACCTGATTTTAAGTGATTACCGCCGCCCATGGACATCTGCTACACCCGAGGGTTACAGATACACCGTAAAATCGCGTGCCATATATAATAAGCGATAAGCTGTATATTATGGGGTCCCGAATACATTTTTGGCCCAGTTGCCAAGTTATTGGTTTAGACTTCACGGGCCACTCCCGTTGGAGCAGGCATTTTAATGACTGCAGATAATTACCCAGATTTGGGCGTATGTCATCGTATAATACATGTTTATGTGAAACACTACTCTGGGTACCCTGCAGCGGATAATTATATTACTTCATTATATTAAATAAAGGTAAGAATAGTATTCAAAAATGTTAAGCATAAAAAATTTTGAATAGTCACAAAGTACGGCACGGATAAGTACCCCGAGCTCACAGAAGACCGGCGTAAAACAGAAGTTTTACACTTCCGCATTTCGTCTGGTGAGTGAGGTAGCCGGGGCCCACTTTATTTAAAGGTGGCAACGCATTTGTAACCCTACGGTCGTGGCAAATGTCCATGGGCGGCGGTTATCGCTTAACATCAGGTGAACCGCCAGCTCGTTTGCCACTCTCTCACATGAAAAATAAAGCTTCGAAATTTTCATATATCAGGCTCGATCCCATGTAATTGAACATTCCACTAAACGGAACGTTTTATTATAGGCAAATGTCCATACATGTTTATCGAATAAGATAGAAAAATTTATAAAATTTTACAATGCTTAATTATAATATCAATACTTAAAAAGAAGAAAAGTTAAAACAAAAACAAACGTAACAAAATTTAGCAGCCCGTATGTCAAGCGCATATGGACACACTTGAAAATATTAAGGTGTCTTATCATCATCATTTCAGCCTGTTTGAGTCCACTGCTGAACATAGGCCTCCCCCACAGACTGCCACGAAGTACGATCCTGAGCCACCTCCATCCATCGAGGGGACGACCCCGCACTAGATGGAGTGACGACCTGTGAAGTTACTTTTTGTTAGGTACCTACTAAAAACCAAACTAATAAAATTTGGCTTATGGCTTGGTATAGCTTCGAATTATTACGGAATATACGGATCTGGGTGTTTGTGTCCAAGGCGGGCTGATGTCGAGCAGGCGGTCATTCATAAAAAACCTAGTCAGTACTTCTTTTCTTCCCCATTTATTATTTAATTTTTATCCCATTTAGAAATAAATACGAAACGTACGGACGGGTCGAAGAAATTTTATAAACGTATAAAATGAGGCTCAATAATCACGGACGAAAAAATCTTTATTTTATTTTGACTTGTTCGAGATCCTTGAAAGTCAAAATAAATCTTTCTCATATTTAGACGGAGATTGCAGGGAACCTTCTATAACTTTATTTATTACTTATATGTTTAATAAATGTAGTTAATTTTTATAGATCGGCGCCTGTTTATTTCACCGAGGTACTACCTATAGTTTTCCCCAAGCCTTGGGTTATTGCAATAGAATGCCAAAGGGAACTAAGACAGTCGTCTTGCGTAAATTAATCAGGAATGCAATGACAAATAAATTTATGACGAAATAAATATTCACTACCGCGAACACAATCCAATAAATCGTTTACGTATCTAATGTAGACTGCGATTATTAGCAAGTCGAAGCAAGATGGCAACACTACGCCGGAGTGATGTCCGATTACTCGTAAGCGGAATCTAGGTGACGTAACCGCCGGACGGGGCGGAGGGAAACGCGGCTCCTCAACTCCTCAGTCGGCAAGAGAGCGGTGTCGTGCACGGTTGTGCCCGTGCAACTCGCAGCGTTTCGCGCCAACTCCGACCGCGGTCGTATAATCCTAACCTATAACTGAAGTACGCGATTGTTGTTAAACAACGTATAGATTAAAACATCTCACTGTATCACTCACCGTGTGTGGGATTTAATCGTTTTAATTCTAATTCAGTTTAATAAAGTTTACGCACAGTATCTGTTAATTCGAAATCTCACCGGTCTGCGATCGGCGATCGTCCGAACGCAGCGTTGTTAGTAAACGTGCCGAAAATAGCAGAGACGTTTGCTTAACGGACGTCGCGTCGCGTCTTGGGGGCGGTGTTTGACAAAAGTGCGTGTATTGTATTGCGTGAAATGCTTGAGATGTAGGAGTGCGCAAACGGAGCGTGTCCCGCTGTTCCCGGCTTTGGTGCGGCCCGCATACGTCCTAAAGGTAATGCAATAAATAATACATCTCGCCGGCTACACCGGCGCTCACTATTAGTTTCGCATTAATTCGATTTGGTTAAGTTGAAGGCGGTGCGTTGAACTCGCCGGCTTGTGCATCGGCACGCCTACTCCTTGCTGTCTTACTACCAGTTTAATAGATTTTACGCAATTTATTTTATAGAATGATTTATTTTGTCGTAGACTGTATTAAATTTACAATTGTAAGAGCTTAGAGGATTTCTATGTATTTTTATATTTGCGTATTATTTAAAATAAATAAGGAAACATTAAATTAATCTTAGGAACAGGCCATATTAAATGACTCTGCATTCGTATTTATTTTAATTGTATAGATAGAATTGATAAGAAAATTGTTAGTTTTGATTATCTTCGGTAGCGCCGTCGGGTGTTAACAGACAATAGAAATAACATAGTTTTTACTATTTTATTTTATACATTTTAAAATTGTGTGTTATTTACTATTGCTTCATGTTAAATAACATATAATTTTATCCCTTTCCCCATGCCCTTGAATTAGAAAACTTAAATTCGTAAGTCAAATTTTAAAGCTTAGTGATAAATACTAAGCTTTAAAATTTGTGTTTTAGTTTCAAGCGCTATTTAGAGTTTCTCGTGGTCTTTGCGAAATTATGTGAATTTAAATTGTTTATTTGGCGTTCCCTTCTATGTATTTATTCGTTTG